CCCCCAAAAAAAAAAAAACAATAATTTCCCCCCCCCAAAAAAGGGGGGGGGGAAAACCGGGTTTTTCCCCCGCCGGGGTTTTTCCCCCCAAAAAAGGGCAGTCCGGGGGGGGGGGGGGGGGTAACGTGAGCAAGGACAATACACTTTCACTGCTCTTGTTGTGAGGGTCCTTGCCCTCCAGCCTCCCCTTGAACCCACCCACCTGTACGTCTCTAGCCCACTCGCCCAGGAGGATGAGATGCCCAGGACCCCTCCTGCAGAAGCTGCATCCCGCAGCACCGGCCCTGCAGTTGTACCTGCATTTTTTGTTTTCGAGGCAACAACAAAACACCTGAAAGACGTTGTAAGAACGCCATGCCCCGAAAATGCTCCGGGCGCCGATCAGCCGGTCGCGCCTACGGGCTTAACTCGTTGTAGATGCGACACACCCAAACCAAAAAACAAAATGGGCAAAATAGACAAATGTCTCTCGTTCACAAAACCGCAAGATGGACACCGTGTAGCTCACCAGCAAAGAAAAAATAGTCGTATCTACACCAATGTACAGACTCCATGCCTGCCCCGAACCTCCTCTAGGGCTTGTCGGTTAATTGCGATTGCAGCGCGCAAGGACAAAAAAAAAAAAATAACCCTAAACATGTACAAACAAGATGTCAAGAAGGATGAAAACAAAAAGAGGGAAGCAATCAGTAGTCGTCGTCGACAGGCATCGGGAAGATCGATATTGGCACCCGTTCTTTCTCCGAAGAGCATCTATCTATGTAACATGTCCAAGCAAACAATTGTCGGCACGTGCGGAATGCACTTGACACGACACCTCGGGAGGAAGACGTGTGTATGTCATGTGTGTTTACAATACCTTCGGAAGAGCGACTGCCGGGCCTGGCCCACATCGCTGTCGAGCCAGGCAGGGAAGCCCTCGGGGCACCCGCAACTGGTAGACCGCCGTAGGCAGCCCCGGCACACCCACGGACACTCCAGGATCTCGCCCTCCAGGTCGACCGCCCGGTAGTTGAACCTTTGTCGTCAGGGGGTCGGGGGGAGGGGGGGGGGGGG